TTTTTTGGTACCAGGGATCGAACTTGGGTCCTTGCGCTTGCACAGCAGGTGACGAAACCACTGAGCTAAATCCCTGGCAGATGTGGTTTCTTTTTATAGAATGGAGTACTACTCAGCTATAAAGAACAAGAAACTAGAGACATTTATAGCTAAATGGATGTACATTGAGGCCATACTCTTTAAATGAAATAAATAGGACACACATGTGTAAATACCAAATAGTTTCTCTGGTGTCAAAAACTAAAAGTGTAATAAGGATCAAAATGTATAACTGATGTTGTGTAATAGGAAGAAAAGATCTAAAGGAGTAGGGGAAGTGGGAGGGTTAGGGCAAAGAAAAGAAGGGAAAAGAAAAATATGAGAAAAGGAAAAAAATGAAAACAAAGCCTTGTAAATAGGGAAGGGTGGAAGGGGTGAAGGGAGGGCAGGGGAATAGGGAAAAAATAAGAACCAAGATACGTCACATAAAGGTACAAGATCCCAATGATGAATGTAACTTTATTGTATACCTAAAATGTACCAATAAACTTAACGGAAAAAAAAGAAAGTCATAAATATTAAGAGGATTGCCAACAAGTCTGCAAGAGTTCAGGCTATGGGCAGGCAAAAATGGGGAATGTGTGACTCAGATAACCAGGAAGTCATTGAGAGTAGAGATAGGAATAGCTGGAGCACAGGTTCAAATGATGCTAAAGTACTCTACTTCTACAGCTCTCAGCTCTATTCCTCAACTCCCCAGCTGTGCTTAGAGTTTCAGATCCCCCATCCTGCTTCCTCTTTTTGGGTAAGTATTTGAGAATTCTAGTGAAATGGAGAACTTTGGATTAGCATGTGCCAGATGGCTGCCTGGTGGGGTCCTTTGAACACATATTAGAAGTGATGATAAAACTAAAATAAAAAGTAAGAGAAAAATAAAAATTAAAGGTTTGTTTGCATCCCATTCCACTTTTATGGAATGAAAGTTACATGTTTGATTTGCAAGAGGTAAGATGGATCAGGCAGCAGAAAGACAATCTTTCACCCTCAGGATTATCCCTTAATCCCTTCTCCCTACCGCCCAAAATACAGGAATTTGGAGGTTGGTTTCTTTAACTATAAGGGCATGGGGAGTTGAGGTAGGAGAGATGTTGCCAATTATCTGCACTTTAATGTGAAATAGAATAATCAGATCATTTTCCAGCTTCTGGCCATGTTCCAGCTGAACTAAATAGGAATTATGGAGTTGGAAGAGAGTAAAGATGAGATGTGGAGCACATATACACTCATCACAGGAGCCTCAGGCACCTGGGGAAAACAGAGGGTGCCTAAAACAGCACCTGGAAAAGAGAGAAGGGCAGAGGGGCCAGCCTGTTCTTTCCAGTCTTATGCAACCAGGCGCTCCGTCACCTGGCCAGCCAGTGTCATTTAATGTGTGTGAGGTCCCTAGCCCACTGGGAATTTTGAAAGGAACGAGCAGAGTTAGATTTCATAGCTTCTTTTCCTCCTTTGCAGATTCTCTGGTGAAGGAGACCTGGGAGAAGTTTCCAAGGGGGACTTGGGGTTAAGCACTTGGAGACAGAATTTCTTTGTGGGAACAGTTTATGCTTGATTCAGCTGTAAATTCCTATGGCCAGGACTCAGAAAAGGCTGCAGGGTAGATTTATATAACTTAACCCCCTAGTAGAAGGAAAGCTTCCTTTTACTCGGAGTTGTTCTTCTCTAGCTTTGTAACAGAGGATTACTCAGTGAGAAAGTAGAGTGTGTGGAGTCTGACAGGAAGGAGGTTTCTAGGTCAGTGTTGCTGACCTAATTCTGCATTATGTTTTCATTGAATGGGTTGATTATTTTTATAGCCTTTTCTGGTAAGTGAATTACCTTCACTACTTTCATTTTTTCCATGTCCCAACTTCTACTTCCTTACCACGTTTTACATGAACTTGAAAATTCACTCCTTAAGCTATTCTTTTAACTCAATAGGAGCAATATCCTTCGTTTTGAACAGCAATTTTGTGGCTGGTATTGTAAACACTGGTCTTGTGCATAATTTGTAGGGGGATAAATTAATATTTGTTGTTACAGCTTTAAAGGGACTAGGGTTTTGGTGTCACATTTTAATGTTTTATGAACCAATGGAATCTTTTTACTTTAATCGCCTTCTTTGGGTGATTAAATATGTGTCACCAGATCCGGCTTTTTTTTTCCACTGACTCTGAAAACTATTTCCTTGTTAAACAAGTAAGTTACATTTACCACATACTATGATCACTCATTTTTTTTGACCTTCAATTTTATTTTTAAAAATCACTTTAAAAAATATGTTATCTTTACATTTCAAAACTGGGCTGATCCTGTTGTGTTGTGGTTAGCCTGAGTATTTGAGAGACATTCCAAATTCCAGTTCATGGACATTGCGGTTTGTTTGTTTTTTAAACTTGCCCAATTATGCCGGATTTCAGGCTGGTCTAACATACTAAAAAGACTCTTTTGTCTTGTGTAAATCTGACTTTGTATCAGCTCTCTGCTTTTCAGTAAACTTTGAGATTCTTTTCAGCTCCAGAAATTAGGTGAGATTAGTCACTAGATTAAGCAAGGCTTTTAGAAGTGCCCAATGAGCAAGACATCAATGCTTGAGCATTAATGTAAATAATGAAGATATTTGGAAAAAAAATGATTTCCATGGCAGTATAAAGCCCTCCTTGTTGCAGGTATTGTGGGTGTGACTAGTTTGGGTGAAAATTATGTCAAATGTCACCAAGTACATTTAGTAATTTTTTAAGGAATAATTACTCTCTCAACTCCATCCCCAAGGATAAATTTCTTTTATAAGAAGTGATACAATAAACATTTTGCAAGAAATATAATTTAAAAATTTAGCTGCATGTTTTGCACATTAAATATGCAAATATAGTTCTGCTTCTTTTTCTTGTTACTAAAGGGAAAAATAACTTTAGTGGAAAAAAGCAGAAGTGCAAGGTCCTGAGTTCGATGCCCGGTACCAAAAAACAAAACAAAACGAAACAAAACTTTGGTCTCTGCCCTTCACTATGCTGCTTTAGCATAGCTGTGTTAGCTGAGCAGGTTGCTCTATTCACGTAGTTCATCTTTGTAGCAGCCTTAACTAATTTGGTTTAGAATCAGATTAAAACAAACAAAAGTTTCTTCTCTTTGTGTGTCCAAACCCATAATTTAGGCTGTTCTGAACTTTCAAAAGGAAGTTTAGCTGGTTTCTTTTCTCCAACCACAATTTGATATAATTTTCTTAAAAAGCATGAAAATTGTGCCACATTCAGTGATCCTAGAGTTAGTTGTTTAGAGAGTGTACCTTATGATGAGGAGAAATTAGGTGGACCACCATGCGGGATATTCTTCTGAGTAGTGGAGAGAAAGCAGGGCTTGGAAACTAGAGATTAGTCTTCATCAGCTCAGCAGGAAGAAGTGGCAAGTTTGGGATTCCCCATCTTTGACCTCAGTGTTTCAGTGGGGTCTTTGTTTTCATATGGGCTTTTTCCTGCCCCTCATTTCCTTTCCATTTTTTCTCATACAAACATTTCCTAAAATGTACTAATATTTGGATGCCCCCTGAGCTTTGAAAGGCACTTTCTTTGGGTTCAGTCTCTGAGGGCATTTAGTTCTGCTGTACGTTCAGCAGAATAAGGCATGCAGAAGTATTAAGTTTTCTTACGTTCCTTCTTGAGTCATTTCAACTGTAGTTTCTCTTCCATTTGCTATGTAGAAAACAGAGGCCTTTGGAAGCAAGGAATCCCCAAACCACAAAAGGTCTACTTGAGGGTCATGCAAGCCAAACCGCTTGTGCTTCCCCATAGAACTCCAACTTTTGCTTTACAATTGGCAGATGCTGCAAGGAGAGCTCTGGCCTAAGCAACTGTGAAAAGTAAACTCAGCTCCAGTTCCACAGCCAAACAGATAGAACATAATTGTGTCAACTTGCAAATTCTTATTAAACTGACAACCAAGGGATTGACTGAGACAGGTGATTTATAAAAGGAAATTTGGGATGGTGAGTAAGACTAGAACCAGGTTGGCATTAACTCAACCTGCTTTAGCAGCTTTCTAAACGACTAGCCAGTCAACCTTGATCTGAGATCTTTTCATCCATAAAGACAATACATAATGTTTAGGTAGTATGTAGGAGTGATACACATATTGTGATGTCTAGGACAAAGTAATTCCTCAGTGAATGGCTCATTTCTTCTTAAAAGTATTCATTTATAAAGATTTTGTTGTGTATATGCCAATTTCTTTGTGACTGACTAGTTGAATAAAGAATGGCAGATATTGTACCAAATGTGCTCATGGATCAGGTAACTTGACACGCTATTTAATAGTATTGATATTACTGGAGACAATTCCGCTGCCTCTTGCCTGGTGAGCTCCTATTTGTCCTTTAAGCCCCGCTCTTTCACACCTTGCCTCACCCTCCAGATAGCAATTGGTCTTCACTCTCATCTGTGTTCTTTTGTACCCTGGCCATTATTGTGTTACTACCTTTACCTCAAGATTCCTACAATCTTCCCTTCTTGACTGTGAGCATTTTGAGGCAGAGAATATTTTATTCATTTTTCCCTCTTCTTCCCTTCTACTGTGCAGCATAGGACCTGACGTAGAAATAACCATTAGTCGGACTGAATTTAACTTAACTGAAGCAACTACCTACACAGAAAACAGGGCCATGTAAAATAGCTGGGCCTCAAAAGACTGCTGGTTCCCTTTACAGCCCTTGTTTTTTGATCTGGGCCCCAGTGTTGGTGTAGTAACAGATTGCACATCACCTTTGATGTCATTCAGGAAGGTGACCGTCAGTCACGGCCTACAATGTGATGTTATTCGGCTGCCAGCAAATGTCAGGTTTCTTGTGGCTTTGTAGTTGGATTTGCTGTTTGTTTTCTGGGGCATAAGTGGCTGCGCAGTTCAGCCTTCTGGAGTTAAGAAAAGATAGCCAATGTGACCCCAGGGAGTATGAGGTCAGGTATCAGCTCAGGAATTATGCTCGGGTGTCCTGAGTTTCCTGGTGAGAGTATTCCAATGGGTTACACTTTCTGTCTTTTACCTGGAAATAGGGGCATGTCTATTTGTAGCCTCTATTCACGAACAGGTTTGTGTCCTTCAATATCTCTTTAATAAAATAGGAATACATTATTCCACTTATGTTGGCAGTCAAAAATTATAGGGACAGCTTTATGAAAAAAAACCCTACTATTTTTATGTACAAAGTTTTTTTTTATTTAAGTTGCTGTTGAAGTGTAGATTTCTTTGCAGAACTTTTATGTTCTTGAGAGGAAGATATAATTTAAATCTATGCCCTGTATCTCCCTCAATTTTTTGCTATTCTTTTAGTAAGTCTATATTTCTAATTCCAGAATTGATTCACCTTTGTTTATTGGCCACAAACCCCTAAAGGTAAGATGATGAGGGGATTTCCCTGGATGAACACAATAAGAATTGTATTGTATAATTTTAAAACAATAATAAAGCCAACTACAAGTTTTCCAGTATCACTATGCACTGATTATTCTAAACAAATTTCTGAAAACCTCTTTTGTTGGCTTAAATTCTAAACCAATGCTATGGTTACTGTTGAATTTTAAAGATGTACATGTAACCTACAAATGGGCAAATTTGTATTACTTATTCTTTGAAAAATGTTATTTTTATGTAGAAGTTCATTCACAGAACTCCCACTTACTAAAAGTTGTTTTTTTTTTTTTTAAAGTTTCTTTTAAAATATACAACTAGCACCAAGACAATACTGGATTGTACCTATAGGGGGAAAAAGATGTTATGGCAGGGAAGTTTCCAGATGTTTAGTAGGATTAAACACAGGTCACCATCATCTTAGGCACAAGGAGCAATTTTTTTTTTTAAAGTTTCTTTTAAAATATACAACTAGCACCAAGACAATACTGGATTGTACCTATAGGGGGAAAAAGATGTTATGGCAGGGAAGATTCCAGATGTTTAGTAGGATTGGAATCAAGGGTCATTATCATCTCAGGCACAAAAACAACTCACTTTTTGTCAGATTTCTTAATGCCACCTGTGGCTAGGGGACCCTTCCCTGCTGCCGTTGCTTGTAGCTCCCAGAGTTTCACGCCTTCTTTTTGTTTGTGTTGAAAGCTTTCTCTTCCTTATCCACCTCCTTGACAGTTTCTTGGGCTGTTTCAGGGACTTGTTTTTGCCACCTTCCTGGCCAGACATGACGCCTGCTACTTCTTCCCCAGATTCTGCTCCTAAACTCAAAACAGAGGACTCCTGCTGAAACAGTTGGCTCATGACACACATGGAGTGAACAGTACACACACATGTGCACACACACACACACACACACACACAAAGTGGAGATTTAGTATCTCATGCAGTTTCTGTGGCTGGTAATATGGGGATAGCTTAGGGTTTGGCTCAGGCTCAGTCCTCAGGGACTGGGCTTCCAGTCATTTGAAGGCCACAGGCCGCATCCCCTGTTATTGCCCAGAGTTACTGGCTGGCTGTGTGGGGTGGGGAGACCT